CTTAATGTAGTATATTTTTACTTTTATGACTGAAAATAAGAAAAACAAAAAAAAACATTAACATCGCTTTAATAACCTTTTCATATACAAAAGATTATTTACAAGAACTTGATTTCGATCGGTCAGTTTGTACGGCAGCTATATGCTATAGATGTCCGATCTTAGCAATTTGTTCGGAGATTACACCGTTACCTTGGACAATAATTCATTAAAAATTTCAGGAAGATATCTCGTCGTTCAGTTTGTATGGCATCTACATATATGTTATAGTGGTCCGATATCTGCGGTTCCGACAAATGCGCAGCTTATTGGGGAGAAAAATTCGTTTCCAAAGTGTAGATATCTCAAAAGCTGAGGGACTAGTTCGTGTATATACAGACAGACAGACATGGCTAAATCAACTCAGGTCGTCACGTTGATCATTTAACAATAGCCCATACCTCTTAAACTATTTGGCTATTAATACGTAGACTATAGAAGTTTATATTCAGAGGAGTTGTACTTTAAACGATTTGTTAAAAGTTGAAACGCCGGTGCTGAGGGAACTATTTTTAAAATATATAACTTGCCTTTAGATATAACATATTTTTAATGCCTCTACACAATTCACAGTACGAAAACTCTTGAAGATCTAAAGATGAAGTCGTGTTGGAAAGGGTATATTTCTGACGTTTTAGATGTAGATGGAAGAACTAAATTTATTAGTAAAGTTTGGTGCTCAAGTCCAACAAAGCAATTCTATAAATTTGATGAAAAATCCTTTAAAAATCGTTTATCATTCAAATAGCCATTGATTCCACCCTAATATAATATTAATTTCTCGAAATATCCAATATAATGAGGTGCCTTAAAAAATAGCAACTGGAACGTTTCAAGGAATTATCCGATCATTCCTCTCATTACCAGACGGTTAACCGATTACAAAAAAACATATAGTAATACAATAAAATATATGTTGACGCAAATACTTGTAGATCAAAGATATCATATCAAGGTCAACGTATTTGAAGAATTTCAGAAATGCCTCAGCTCGTTTTACTAAGAAAGTTGAATGATACCATAATCGGCAACTTATTAAAATCGATCCCAAAAGTCATTGTAATTCGTAGTGAAGAATGATTTCTCGTGCCTTCTTTGGTGCAAGATCTATGGCTAATGGAAAAAGTAACAAAAGGAACAACAGGAAACGTTGAAGATTCTATAAAGTATATTTATAGCCATGTCCGTCTGCTCATCTGTTTGTATATACGCGAGCTATTTAATGCCTCAGTTTTTGAGATATTGCTCCGAAATTTCGTACACGTTCTTTTTTTCCAAGAAGCTGCTCATTTATCGGAACTAACGGTATAGAACCACTATAGCATATAGCTGTCATACAAACTGAAGTATCGGAATTAAGTGCTTATGTGGAAAGACGAGATATATTCACGAAATTTAGCATGGGCTACTGACCATGTGAAGCTTCGATGCAATCGACACTAACCTTTTTTCTTGTATTTTATTAAATTAAAAAAATTAGAGAAGCCTTAAATTAGATTTTCATTTCCTGATTGTTTTGCTTTAGAGTCAAACATTTGAAATTTTTTTCGAAGGTAAAGTACGTGTCGAAAAAAATTTAAATAAACACAATTACATTGGTAAAGTTTTAAAAAAATATTTTTATAAAGAAATATGTGGGAGGTCAAAAATATTTGGATAACTAAACAAATAATAAAAGTTGCGAAAAAAAGGCTGCATGAAAATTTAAGATAAAATCAAAACGAGGCCAGAAAAGATATGTATACTACACAAAATGTATAATAAAAGCCACAAAAACAACTTATCACTAAGTATGTAAGTATGTACAACTCTATAAATTCTAAATCTACAATATATGTATGCCCACACAAGTGTTATGCCTTCGTTCGACCAGCCCACAACAAAATCAGCAAGATCACAGCGAAATAGTCAGACGTAAACTCCCACACGAAAACAGTTAAGCAAAAAAAAATTTAAAGAATTATATATTATTTATGCTTGTAGCAACGTCATTAATTGGTAGAAGTGGTGCACGTTGCGAAGCAAGGCAGTGGGAGAGCGTTAAGAGCTGAGCTGACACACACGTTGATGTTCAACGTTTGTGAACCGCTGACGTCTCTAATGAGAACGGAAATGCTAGAGCATAACGAATTCAGTGGGAGAGCGCTGATAGAGAGAAAAGAGAGAGCGTGTGAGAGGTTGATAGATTTTTGTTATGAGCGCGTATTTCTTTACCGATCGACGAGGGATCATCGCGTACCACAAAACTACAATTTATTTGCACACGAGTGTGTGTGAGTGGTAGAAGTCACTGAAAATTCATGTGCTACCGAATAGATGACAAGCAAAACAACGGCCTACCGCTAAAAATCCCGCAGAAATAAATTGTTAAAACGGTAGCTTATTTGTGAAACCAGAATTTTTTACGTAATTTATTTAAAAAATTTTACGTCTGTTTCGAGCGTTTATTTGGAGAATTTAATATACATACATAGGTTTTTTAAGAAAGAGTGGATATTTGGCACAAATATTATTTAAACTTTGAAATCAGAAAAAATTATCAAAAAATATTTGTTTATTAGATACATAATTAGCTCAGAAAAAGAACTAAGGTTCCTGTATGGATTATTGAAAAGTAAAGAAAGAAATTAAAATATTATGACATATTAAGGTTTAAAAGTTAATTTTGAAAATCCTTTGTGATTAAAATATATATATACATATATTAGGGCCTAATATAGGATAACTAGCCTTTACAACTAATGTTGGTTCTGTATACTTTTCTGTAGAATAGAAACCGAAAAATACCTATGAAATCCATTAAAAATCTTAAGCCTTATTTCTATCCATAGTGGCAAATGTTATAAAAAATGTGCTTTTTGACAGCGCTCTCTCGAATCAAAGAATTTCATATCATATTATTCATGGTAGAAGTGCTGTAAAATAATGAGCAAGGATAAAATAATGAAGTTAATTGAGTTATGCGTCGAATTTATTTCTTCCATTTTTTTATGGTGCAGTGCATTTGTGCTGGCGCCTACTCCGAACAATTACAATAAAAATTTGTTTGCTCTTTTTATTTATGCAGCAAATTACAAGTAGTCATTACTTCCAAGAAAATATATTTTTTCCTACTTCATACTTTTTAGAACGCAACAAATATCAGACACTTGACGTTGTATAAATCATAGAAATGAGCGTTTTGCACAAAAATAAAAATAACAAAAACAAATTTTCAAACAATGAAAAATGCGCTAAAGATTTGTGCTTAAGATGAAAAGCGTTGTCTGCTGACGCTGTGGGTTTCGCAAGCATTGCAAAAATAGTGTAGATGACTCAGAGCCTTAGAGCAGCTTGTGCGAAATGCCACTGTCAATTAGTTAACACAGACATAGATACTCATACTCGCACTCATACTCAATAATTCACCCGAGCGAGCGTGTGCGGAGGCATTATAAACATGTCCAATAGTAAATGCCGCGTCTGAATACTAGATAGAAATACTGGTTCGTAGTATTTGTGTAACGGCATCCTCATGCGCCGATATCTTAATTGAGAATCGCATAAAATCGTGGCAAATTAAATTACTTCAAAGTAAGTAGCTTGAAATGTTTTGCTTGTGTCCGTTTTGAGTACTTCCGTCGCCGCTTGATAATCTATTTGGTGATATTAAATAGACACCCATAACTTATTGCCGCGTTTTGATATACAGAGGTCTATATTATATACAAATACTAGGGTGAACTGAACTTTCGAAGACATTTTTCCCAAATCTGTTAATCGGACAACTGTACTCTCCAAGATCTTATCAAATAATCTTATGTTGTATACAAAACCTGGACTGACAGTTCACCGTTGGTGTTCTGGGTTTAAGCTGTGCTCTATAGGTACTTTTACTGGGTTTTCATCTTTATCGACGCTGTAACAAACCAAGCCATTATTATTATTACCAAAAGAACCGAGAGACATGCACATGCATAACATAATGACTGATAGATCAATTTAATTCAACATTAATCTAAACGAAACTGGCCTATCCCAAATTGACCGAATGTAATTAAAGCCAAGCCTACCAATCTAACGTAGCCTAACTTAATCTAAAAAAAAAATTTTATTTTTTGAATCAGAAGCTTATTTGGAGAGATCATATTGTCAGATAGATTAACTTAATCGAACCTTTGATTTAAACATTAATTTTTTATTGACTTGTAAGATCCACATGTCGATTCTTTTAGGACTAAAGCCCATGCTGAGACCTTCAGAATTTTAAATTCTGTAAGAAAAGCTTATAGTCCACACGAGCTGATGACGGAATATCGAAAAAAGTTCACTTACATGTCAACTTAAAAGGCAAGATTGAGTAGAATCTACACTTAAAATGTCCTTGGAACCAGAAAAAAAAAATTGAAATACCTGATAACAGTTCTTCGTTGTGAAGCTTAAAACTTGAACTTCATAAGGTAGGCATTATATGCTTTTGACTCCAAACATATTTCTTCAAGAGTCTCCTTAGTGAGGAAAGAATTCAGATATTTTATCGTTTCTAAGCCAAGACAAGTAGGTGAGATAGATCCAACTAAATACTCAACCCTGATCCGTGCAGATCATGTTAAACGGAGTATAGCTGCTAAAAGCTCTGGATCCAAAGCGAATATATACTTATGTATATATACTGATTGATGCCGTCTTTTCATGCGACGCTGTTTAATGATTCGACGACACAAGTCTAATGTGTACTCGCACACACTCGAGTAATTACATAGACACATGCATATAATGGTACTCATCTACTGTGTTAGCACGCTTTGGTAGCTTCAATGCGCTAAATAGTCAATATATTGTTCATATATGGATTTAATGGCGCACTTGAGTACACTATGCCATCGATGTTGTTTTTGTTTTTGTTATTGTTGATGTTGCTCGTGTAGTTGCTGTTGCCCATAGTTAAGTAACTTCAGTGTTATATCTGTTGCAAATGCAATTAACGTTATGCAATACGACCGCCTTACACACACGCATACACACATCAAACAAATTTACGGCACTCCCATTTATCCATTCACCCATTTTCTATGCATTCTACTCGACAAAGTTTTGTTTTGTGAGACCGCCACATTGCCACCGCCACCCTCGCCTGATCACAATTCTTTTGTTCCACCTTCGGCTGCCGTTAGACTTTGGACTCACTTGTGTTATACATACAGACATTTAAAGTGTATGTTCATATGGGTAGATGTGTGCTTACGTTTTGCACTATTTCTCCAACTAATTTATTGATTCTATTGAGTAAGTGGCGCATTTATCGCATTCATTCGCTTTGTCGGTTCGGTTCGAATGCAAACTCGGTTAATTTCACTTAAACAGCAATTAACTAAATTGACTTGAACTGAGTTGTGCTCGCTGAAGTTTTCGCAATTACCTTGCAAGGTAATCGATTAATTAGGTTAGTTTCTAATTAACCGTGAATCGGGGTTATGAAGGTCATCTAATAACGTATCATGGCTATGGGCAAAGAAAGAAGAAATTCGTATTGATCAAATATATGTGAATATGCTCACGGCAAAGAACGTAAGAGCCACCACTGAGATAGTGTAAAGGAGGGTAATATTACTTTCATAATTGGAGGTCTTAAGGTCCTTCATATAATGTTCCACCTCCCACAATATTGATCAATCATTCATATTCTGTTTAAATTTTTAACTGACTACCCAAAAGCTCGTCCCACAAATGGAGTGTAAAGCTCGACTTGGGAAAGGTGTATGCGTAAAAAACATTAACGTCAAGTGTTAAAACCATTCCTCAGCGAATGTCTGCTAAGTGGATCTAGTACAGGCTTTTTGGAACAACTCAACTCTAGTGTCAAACAAAATGTTGGTTCAAATATAAGTTCCGATAAAATTTTGGAATGATATCGCAAGTGTCATTTAGTGGATCAAATTTAGGTAGCTTATGTATTATGTATTTTATTGTATGAGAGAAAGTGCTGATTACTTTAGTAATCCAGCAACTACCATAGATATTCAGCTGATTCGATGAATATTTCTTTGAAAATTCTCAGATTTGGATGCCGAAAATGACTCAACTGGCACAAATGTATATCTTCGTTTAGATCGAAACCTATACCTTTATAAGTATTTTTCGTGCGTTTGTAACAAAGCAAGATGTGCCATACAATACAATGATCTGATCAAAGAGTGAAGTTTTAAAGAACTCTAACTGCAATACAGAAGAGGTTTCTCTGTTTCTCGTAACTGAGGATGAAATTCGCAAACCGCTTATTGTATTTGAGATGAAAGAAACAGTAAAAACTCAGTAAAAAGAAGTCGAACATGTCTTGCAACAGAATAAGATGAGTAAGTCAGCCAATTAAACATCGACTAGAATTTTTTGAGCTTTACAGAGTTCCATTTATACATATATCTTATTACTTCAGATTAATGACAAATATTATTATGATCTATTGAAGGAATCCAATACTCAACAGATGTCGTTACAATCGATGCTAGTTAATACTGGGATAGTGTGAAGACCTTTTGCACCATATTCCTTTACCGATAATATGTACATTTTCTAAAACTAAGAAAGCCATCATTGAAACCAGTGAGTAGTTTAAGAATCTTAAGCTTCATGATATGAGGATTGAATAACGAAAAAAAAACACCGGACTTCTAGTTAAAAGGTAGTTGTAAAACGGAAGTATATCGGAACTTACAATACTTCTGTATGAACATGCTGACTTTTCGATTCTTCCACAAATACACAAATGATAATGATCATCTATAATATTCACAAATAATAACATTAAGGTAAGTAGTCAAAGGAGTATATAAACTTCATTATCTATCTATCATGCCTCTTATCTTGTCTTATCTAATCTTAGTTGTCTGATATGAAACCTAAAGCAAGTGAGGTACAACATTTCATAATAAACGTTTATATTTTATTAACAATTAAATATTTGTAGAATCTACTCGTATGTGTATCTAGGTTGTATTATCTGATGATCACAATATAAGTATAAAGCCAACACAGAAGATAACTAAGAATTATTAATAAACACTATAAGAAGTTAAGGTATATGCGGAAAATAAATACCGACTAAGCTATGGTTTTCAGAGGAGTAAATAATCTTAATATAGCAATATAAAGTGCAAAAGAAAGTTCTTTTTTCTCTTTATCTCTTTCTCACTCTTTATATAGTTTATTTAAAATGATTTGACGGCTGGTATAACCTACTTTTAGGCTTAATATCTGATTGACAAGTGAAAATAATTAATGATCTATATAAAACTCAGACCTCTCTTCCTGGTGTCCTAAAAATGTATGGCTGTACATGGTTTCATCAAACGGAGTTTAGTAACTTTGTATTGATAATATTTAAAGGAGATTGGTGCCGTTTGAAATTTCCATTGTTTCGAATGAGAAAACTAAAAATATTCTAATATAGAGTCTTCGTTATCACTAAAACGATGTAACTTCTAAATTTAATTTGAGATCGATTTCCATAATGCACAAAACCCTTTTATAATAGAGGTTGAAAGCTTTTCTTACTTGATAATGAATTTTTAGGGCTATTCATTATCAAGTAAATGATTATAATAAAGGTCTGTTTTATTTACCGGAAGGTATATGGAGCTATACGCCAGAAATCGAGATTGTGATAAATATAGGGTCTAAAGAGATTAAATTTAATTTTAATATTTGCATTTCCTTTGTAACGATAATCTACTGAAAGAAAGAATAACTCATCGACATAAATAAGGTTATAAGATGAAATAATAGTCATCTGTCGAACAAAGTAGAATTTTTTGGATATAAAGAACAATTTATTGATCATATATGCCATACATATACTTGTATGCCGCCCTAACTTAACACTAAACTTCAAAAGCTTTTAAAACTGTTGAGGAAAGAAAAAAAAATCACGTAATGGAATCATCAACTCAACTTAAGAAAAACTGTAACAGTTTTGCTCATTGTTTTTTACTTTTGGTCAATAAGAAGTATAACCTTCAAAGCAAAGGAAAAGTAATATAAAAGAAGTACGGAATTGTGGAATAATAATCTAAGACCGTTATTTTACCTGTGCCATTGTGTGGTATATAGATTTCGGTGGCGTTTTCCTGTTTCCAAACTTTAGATACCTCTCAAGGAATGAAGAATTGTTACGATTGAAAAAGTAAAAGCTTCTCTGAGGCAATACAATTAGTGTTTCGAGGGTTGAAAGATCAAAAAACTCATGGGGTGGTGAGCCGTTGCAACCGGTCGTCAAACAAGATTGAAGGTCAGTAAGGTCTACTATGTGTCCGATGGGATTGTCAGGTAATTATCTACTATAAGCTTCTTCCCTATGGCCAAAATATTAATTCGAAAATGTACTGTCCACAATTGAACCGTGTGATGGAAACAATTGACCAGAAGCGGCCAGCTTTAACCAATTGGAGAGGATTTGTCTGCCACCAAGACAACGCTTGGCACATACTTACATACAAGTAGATCGATAACGACGACGAGATCGAAACTCCGGGAGTTTAGTTGGGTGGTTCATAAGAATCCACTTTATAGTCCAAACCTGGCACCAAGTGCTTACTACCGGTTACTTTCTTTGGCGAATGAAATTGCTGATGAAAAATTCGACTCAAAAGAATAGTGACAATATTAAAATTGATGGAAAACATTTTTGAAAAAATATTTTTAACATACACCTCATCTCATCTTTATATGGCATGTATTCTATGTATTCTAAACTCAACCGAATAGGCTAAATTTAATATATTATATTAGGTTGACATGAAAAACGTCAACCAAATGATCGAAATTCATTGTATTAGAGATATAGGGTTTAGACCAAGACCAATTTCATTTATATTAAGTGTCAAACCATTAAAAAAATTTTATAACTTTTAGGAAAACGTGTCCATTTAATTTCATTAAAATATCACACATTTTGACCAACCTAAACGATTTACAGTCAGGTGGAAAGTCGTAAATAATTATATATAGTATATATTGGAGGCAGAAAAATGGAAGAGCTGATTGCATTAATTTTTGACATTGCTCAGGTATACTTGTGAACTTATTTTTAAGCAATTTTATAAACATATATATATGTAAATATATAAAGTAAAGTCAGCCAGATGTTTCAAAATCCTGGATATCAGCTATATGGGGCATGTTATATAAGGCAAGATAACTCTCACATTGGCCGATATATGTAAGTGGTATAAAGTAAACTGGTAGTTCGAAAATCTTTATATTAGGTATATTTGGGCTAATAGAAGTATTGACCCGATTCAACCTAATTTTGACACAAGAGTATATTATTATAGAAGAAACATTTTTCTCAATTTTAATAATATATCTCACAGATTGACCGATATTTTCGGCCAAAGTCAGCCATACGCACTGGGGTGCACATATTCGGTAAGTGGGTGCCTGAAGGGGTATTCTGGTTTAGAAATTAAAAAAAAATAGATATTTTTAAAAACTTCCGAACGGCAAAGAAACAGGGAAATAACGAAAAATATTTTTCAAACAGTCGCCATTTGTATAACTTAATATTTTTTTTAATATTATACATGATTTGTACTCTTTAAATATAAACAATAAAAAACATATATAGCAAAAATATTTGTTGTTTTTGTTTTATGGGGTCCGAAAAGAAGCCTAATATTCGGGCTTCTAAACCAGAATACCCCCTTGAACAGTTATGGTCCAATTTTGAAAATTTTTAGATTATCACGTTTTTAGTAGTATTTAACATAATCGTTATATGTGGAGAGGACGGGGTTATATCCGATTTCATCTATTTTTACACTGTCGATAGGATGTGTTAAGCGAATTTGGTTATTGTAGCTTAAGTGGTTTAGGAGATATGTACATTAAACCTTTTAGAGTGCGGGGCCACGCCCATTTTTAGATCACATGTGCCCCTTTTTACTGCACTTCCCAATACCATACTATAGTTTTATATTTTAATTTGGTGCTTAGTTATGGTATTTTATAGGTTTTCGATTAATTGCGTTTTGTGGCCGTGGCAGTGGTTCGATTACGCCAATCTACGAACTCGTGTTCACTTTTTTTGCCAAGGAAGATGTGTACCAAGTTTTATTGAGATATCTTAATTTTTACTCAAGTTATCGCTTACACATACCGACAGACGGGCGGACGGACAGGCAGACAGTCACTCGGATTTAAATTCGCTTCATCATCCTGATCCTATGTATATACATATACATATATAAACCTATATGAATCTCGATTAGTTATAAGTAATACGAACAACTGGTAGGGGAACATAACTATTATACTCTGTAGTAACATGTTACAAGTGTATAATAATATACATATGTATGTGAAATAAAAAAGGGAAGCAGCCATAAAAAAGTACCGAAATGACCTTGCCGCGCTGACGCCCAATTTTTAAAGCTTTTCGCTTTCCGAAAAGCAGCACCGGCACAAAAACCAACGAGACGTAACGAGAGAGTGACAGCAATTATATGCGTGACCTTGGGCGCACACGAAACACGCAATGGCAGCTTTGAACACACCAATACATGCAAATGCTCCACCAAAAAAAAATTTTTAAATATATCAAAAAAAAAAACAACAAAAAGGAAATGGAATTTTGGGCTACTTCCAGGTATGCACACACATATTCCCATATATTATATTTGTATTTGTTGTTATTGTTTGCAATATACACTTGTGTACCAACCTGAAAATGTTGCGGCATTTGCTGGTGTGGATGCTGTTGTTGTTGCGCCGTTTGTGGCGCTTGCTGTTGCTGATGATGGTACGGCTGTTGTTGTGGCGATTGTTGTTGCTGCTGGCGCGGTGAACCGTACGCGCCGGCATTGGCGTCCGCATAGTAGCCGGCGGCTTGCGGGTGTGCGCCACCGCTGCCGGCGACGTTGCCGTAGTCGTGGCGTATGGGTATATTGATGCCGTTGCTGTTGGTGTTGCCGGCAACACCGCCGCCGCCACCACCAACACCTGCCGCGGCGTTAGCATTCGCTGTCGACAATACGGTTGGGCGCATTGTTGTTACTTTTGTGACAATTGACGCGCGTTGCAGTTAAAACGTTTTTGTTTTTGTTAGCTTCTTTTTGACACTTAATTGACTGGCTTGTAGTCGCTGCGTTAATTTCGTTGTTGTTGCTTACTTTTATTGATTTCTCACTTTCGATTTTTTGCGTAAATGTTGCGGTTAACCGAGTGTTATTGCTCTTGTCGTTCCAAAACTGTGTTTTGCTGTTTTTGTTCACTTTTTTGTTTGTGTTTGTTGATCAATTTATCGTGCTTTTTTAGAATTTTCTAGATTTTTGTAGATTTTGTTAACACTTTTCTGTAATTTAAAAGTTATTTATAAATGAATGAGTAGAAAGTTGTTGTTTTCGAAATTTTAATAAAAATAAATGTGTAATTTTGAAATAATTATTTTTTTATTTCAAATTTTTTGTTTTGCTTTGCTTTTGATATTTCAAAGACGTGTTACCTAAATGTGTCGTTGCCAGTTCTTCAGACTTTTCGATACAAAAAAAGGTGTATGGATTGTGTATTTTATTTGAGATCGTCCTTAACATTTGGGATTACGCAAACTTTAACAAAAATAAGATTTTTTTCTATAGTATAAAACTATTTTAGAGATTTGTATATTTCGTTTAAAATTCAAAATTTTAAAGAATTAAAAATAAAAATTAATGGTGGAACGGTTAATTGTAGGAAATATTAATATTTTTAATTATTTTATATTCATAATTCCTTCACATAAATGGTGTATATTTGTAATAAATTTTCTGTGCCTTTGAAGTTTTCTGTATCTCAAATAAATTAATTAAGATTTACTTGATTTAGTTTAATTTATATTATGATTTATTTTTCGATATTTTATTAAATGTTGAACCATTTTAATTAAAGTATTATAACCTGAACAGGGTATAATAAGTTTGCTACGATGTTTGTAACAGCTAAAAGGAAATGTTGGAGACCCTATATAATATACATATATCTAAATGACCAGAGTGACAACTAAGTCGATTTAGCCATATCCGTCTGTCTGTATATACGTCCTTCAGTTTTTGAAATACGTTCTTACATTTTTTTCTCCCCAAGAGTTATTTCCTAAGGCAACAATGTAATTTCCAAAGAAATTGTTCAGATCAGATCACTATGCATATAGATGCCATATAAACTGAACGATCGGAAAAAAGTTCTTGTAAGGAATCTTTTGTATTTATGATATAGCTTCGGTGCAACATTTTTACTTGTTTTTATTTTTTATAATTTTAAATTTTACAAAAAGTAATTTTTATATATTTTTATATAATATATGTATGTACATATTACATATATATGCAAGTGATATACATTTAAGTAATTAATATAATTGATTTGTTATAGACTGAACAGGGTATATTAAGTTTGCCACGAAGTTTGTAACACCCAGAAGGTTTTTTTAATAAAATACACAAAATAATAATAATACTCAGATCGTGGGTACCCGGTTGCTAAAAGACGTCGGTAAAGTTGGTAACTAACATAAGGGTTAATATTTTAATTACTTAATTATTTCACACTTTAATTATTTAATTAATTCTCTAATTTTTTAGTGTCATAATATAATTATAAATTATTAATTTTACAGTGTGTACTTCCCACTAACACTAAAAAAAGTCCACAAATTTTCCACCTCACACCGTTTAGGGAATGTCCCCTTATTTACTTCAGTGTAAAGAATTTCGCAATTTTAATATTTTTGAATTTTACAACAAATTCTCACAAGTTTTCGTGACAGCCACCTTTGTTGTTGTTGCTTGCTTTTGCTTCGCGCAGCTGTTGCGTCGCTTGCGCTTTCCTGAGCGCTGCTGTGGGTGGCGTATGAGCTTAGATGCTGCTTTCAAGCACTACCGCGTACAACAACAACAACTACATATGTAGGTATTTTGCACGGCTGCTGCTCAGCTTGTTCGTACGTGGCGTTCGCTCGGCTGAAATGCGACTAGCTTTAGTTAATTCACTGCACAACTGCTTGACTGCCTGCTGAAGAGCTGAAAGTACATACGCTACCCCGCCAGCCGCGCTGCAGGCTCATCAACAAACTGCTTTGCTTTGTTGGGGTGGTGAGTGGCGCTCGTTTATCTCACAGCGGTAGGGTTGTTGCTGACCACACGCTCGCTCTAGCGTTCTGGCTGTAGACGTTGGTGATTATTGTTGTTGTTACTACAATGTGATATTTGCTGGTTGTCGGTGGTGGGAAATGCTTTTAGATGTTTCTAGTAGCTTTTGGACTTCAGCGGAAAATTTGTGAAAATTTTCGAAGCAGCGCGAGTAGTCGCACACACACATTTTAATATTAATTTTAATTTACTGTTTTATGCATTTTTTCATATTAATTTTATATGATTTTTTGCTTAATATTTTCTATATTAAAATACTTTTTTTTTAATTTTTGAAATTAATTAAATTCAAATTTGGGCAATTTTTTTAGTGATGTATAATGTATAATAATCAATTATTGATTTTCATAGCAATATTTCTGCCCTGCAAATTGCACGCACATTCACCTAGTGGCGAAAAAGACGCAGTAAATAAACCTAAAAGCACTTGCAACGCAAACAAATGGCGCTGTGGCACGCGAATACGACGCAAATTCAGCAAAACAAGGTATTTGTTGGGAGTTTTTCGCCACAAAAAAATTAAATTCCGCAATGCAGCCTTTTGGAAAAAAAGTACAATTATGACGTCACCATGCGCCGTTTTGCACTGTTGCTTGTCGCTAATTTGTTTTTGTCGTTTTTGTTTTGAAGAAAATTAAATTCACAGTGTTGTTGTTGCCAGTTTGTATCTTAGGAAAATTGTTGTTGCATTTTTTTGTGGGGAAATTGGTTTCACAGTGTTGTTGCATTTTTTTATATTTAGTTTCACAATGTTGTTGTAATTTTTGTTTCTGCGTGTAAATTACGCGGCCGCACAGCTGAAATCCGCGTGCTCGTCACACACACTCGCGCACATGCATACTATATACACATATACAGAAGCTTATCGCGCAGACATTCCACGCAACCAAAATTAATCATTAAAACAAAAAAAAAAGAAAATTAAATAAACTAAACTTCGCCTCGGCAGCCACTACAAATGAAATTAAGAAAAAAAGAGTAATTCAAAATAAGAGCGCACACTTACACATTCACACTGGCAACAAAAGTTGCACTTAGTAATTTGCGTTCTTTCTAGTTTCTATATCTATTGCTTTGGTTGTTTTTTCTACTTTTTTTCCTTGCTTTTTGAACGAATTTCGTTTTTGTACAACTACAATTACAATTTCTTGCCTTGTTGCTTTGGCGCCGTCTGCTATTCACTTCTTTACAAAATGACAACAACAATATAAATATGTATTTAATTTTTGTTTTTGCTTCCGCCGTACTTAATCGCTTCGTTGTTAGTTTTAGACTGTTCGCATCGGAGATTTCCAACTGTTACCTTATTGCCAACTAGTCGCTAATAATGTCAAAACTCACGCTTCTGCCAACAGCACACACGCTCCGTTCGCGCTCATCCCCAACATGCTCCCCACAAGCATTTTGAACGTGCGTGTGTTTGTATGTATCACTCGCCTCTCTCACTCTCTCTCTTTCTCTATTTTAACCTATTGTGCACTTTCTCCTCATACAAAAGTTTATTTGTACGTTTGCGCCAAGTTGGTACGAAGGTTGCTATAGAGCGCGTTGAGGTTATGTTGTGAGCGCGACAGTATTGAGCAGAGAGTAGAATCAAGCGCAGTTTGTGTGCTGACACAGTTGCACAGTGGAATGTTAGCCGGAAATGTAGAAGAAATTCGACTGGTAGTTATAGAATACCGGTAAATATCGCTTTTGGCATAAAAACGTTTCTTCATACCCTCTCGGCTCCGATTTCATATAGAATTTTGAGTTGGAACTTCACCTTGTTGTAGGTTAACAACCGTTATTTGATCATAATTTATAAAACCCAAAGATGTTATAATTGGTTTGCCCCACAAGTTTTAAAACATTTCCCCACAACTGGCGAATATTGAAATCAAGTAGTACCAAGCCAGTAAACTTTGTACGTAGATTTTCTAAAACAATTTTCCCTTAAGGCTGTACATCAGGTCAGATCGTCTGAGAGAAAATGATGAAACAAACCAGTATGGATTCATTTGCATTTGCAATCTCAAATGCAATAATTGAGAATTGAAGAGAGATTCACCCACTAGAACTTACTAGAGGGTGCGTTCTTTGCACTGCTGGTGCTTTCCTCTGAGATAATCATACTCACAATCACTTGGATCACATTTCGCGCTATCACTGGTAGTGAGTGCCTTAATAGATGGTAATATTAGAACTATGAACTTTATTATGTAATTAGGCTAATTAAAATTCCGCGAATCTCTTGGCGTTAGAGGGTAGCGAACTTTGAGTTTTGCAATGTTATACGATACCTACAGAAGGTAGCTAAAAAATACCTAAGCGTAAAGAGTGCGAAGTAAAAATATACACCAAGATATCGACTTGAAGACTTAACTTCGAGTCACATGCGAAGATTTTGACCATTTGTCGAAGATTTATTGTTCCAATCAGATTGTTGGGGGGACTACTGTATTCTTTAAGATTTTGGATTTTTACTGACCATATAGGAAATAAACGAAGCTAAAGGTAGAAAAAAAAGTTTTCAACTGGGCTGTTAAGACCTAAATAGCTCATTCTCTGGCTCTAGGACTGGACTGATCGCCGAATGACAGTAGTAAATACCTAACTTCACCTTTAACCATAACCTTCACTTAGGGAGTAATTTACTATTTCGAAAAGAATTACAATGCCGTTGTTGTACTATTGTGCTGGGATCTACTTTCATATTTGTGTCATATGTAGATATATTTCATAAAAACAATTAAAACTAAGCGAACCGCTAGCTTCCCATCAGCCGATATCCGACACATTCTGCTAATAGATCGCGCAACGGTTGTTTGCTGTGGGAACCAGTACATGAGAGCTGCATCTCCGTCAGCCGGTCGAAGCTTGAAACGGACAGAACAACTGAATTGACGTTTTCGCATTAAAATTATTTGTATATACATATGTATGTATGTAGTGAATTGTATTAGTGCAAGCATTTGAAATGTTGACCACATTACTCGTAGCGAAGCTACACACATCAGATTTATAAATAGATTCGAACGTGGGTTCCGATAGACGGCGATGAGAGCACAACACAAGAAAGCCGGACAGACTAAATATTTAAACGTCAAATGGCAAATTGGCAAAAACGGCGAACGACGAAAGTCCACATACGAACATATACGAACATATGGTATATACAAACTTACAACAAAGGAAAAAATTTTAAAAATAAACAACAACAAAAGGTAATTATTGTTGTTTTGTGATCATCAAGCTGACGATCATACGAGCTCATAACACTAACAACAATAGGCGATTTGTTTGCGATTTTAGTCATTACGTGGTGTCGGAGGGATCGCTAACATACCTACACACACATGTGTACCGAAAGGTACATACATTCATATATTTAGTTGTGACAAAATACTAGCAACTAAGTCAGCACAAATTGGACAATAATTCGATTCAGTGAGCAAGCAAGGTGTTCGTTTTGTGTTTTCTAAAAAAAAGTGCGTTCCTGCTGAGAGCGCGCCACGCGATCGAGTGGAATGACGAGAGAGCGCGTGAAGAGCGTGAGTTAATGAAGCTTAGTAAATCGGCTGCCCGCTCGTTTTGTTGTGCTATAAACGTAGCAAATCGGAGATATTTAATTAAAAAGTACAATGCTTTTATAATATTTAATGCTTTCTCGCACGAAAATTGAGTTAGAGCAAAGAAATTGCATTCCATAATGAAAGCTATTAAAGGAGCTACATACTTCTAAAAATTCTACGCGCTCACCGCTCTCTAGCCAAAATTTATTTTTGGCACTACAAAGCTACATAAACTGAATACAAAACAAACATACATACAGACATTTTCACAGATTATTCTCGAATAAAAGCACCGCACCGTATAAATAAAGACATCAATTTTAGTAGGCGTCAAAAGAGCGATAGTGATCTTTCATTGCTTGTAAAATATTGAAATTTGTTGTTTGGATGTGCGCATATTGAATGTTTAGTAAATACGTGCATATGTATGTATGTAAATAGTACTCAACTATTTAATGGAATTTTGTTTATCATTGATCACTGGTATTTAAGACATTTTTATATTCTTTGGTTTAAATTACATCTCAATCCGTGAATATGTACTTACTGCAGGAAAGGTATAGAGACCTAGTAAGGGGTATATGAACTACTACAGAACTCAATATTTGATCCACCGTCATATTTGTATAGAATTTATCAATTATTTTACGAACTTTTCAAAAAATTGTGTTCCAATATGGTTAGGTTAGAATATACTACGATTCTCGTTTTCACAATATCTTGTTCAGTCCCAACTTGCCATAATATATAAATAATAGTCATGCCACTAAATTCATGAAGATGGATCAAACCTTCCGAAACTAAATCGACGAAGCGTCTTGAAACTATCAAAAATACAACCAGCTCCTCTGGTTGGCTAATAGAGTGAGAGTAAAGATCATTGAACCATAGTATCGTAAAAACGAGGCAGTCAAGAGAAAAGTGCTAACATAATTTCGACGATCGTTTTTCAAAATTTGAATGTTTGCCAATCGAGCAATAGATAGTCGTAATTTCTATAATAAGAGAGACGAACCCTATTGAATTGCCAGAAGTGCACTAAATTTCTTGCGATTAACTTCCTATCAGAAATACCTTTTTTTATAGTAGTGCGAAGTATCGAGAGCCGAAAGACTGACTGCTGAGTAATCTAACGCTTTGTTGACTACTTTTTTTTTAGCAGAGGGCGACCTAAGAGTGCTGTCAGGTTTTCCACCGCAAAACTACCGTCTGTAGCATACTTCAGTGAAGATGCCTATTATGACTGGTCAAATGCTATTTTTTGGCTTACGTAAACGCGAGGCCCAGCTAACCAACAATAAACCATAAAAACAACGAAACTCACAAGCGTTCTCAGTACAGAATAACGCGCGGGAAGAGCCCTTTCTTGCAAGTTAATCATTCTCGCAGTTCTCAGCGATAAAATTACATTAGTTAAGCACTTTTGGTTAACTGCTACTTTGATATCCGAATGAATACTTATTGGACCTCTTGCTAATACTTTTTGTTGTAACCCCGTCCATTTTTAATTATTATGATTCAGAGTGACCGCCTCAAGTGACATAAATTTGACCTACGAGGGTTTCAAATGTTGAACGCCTTTGAAATACTTCTTTCTCTCAAGGACTCTGAGAACTGTAAATATTTAGTAATGTGTTCAACTGGTATTGGTGTAAAGCTCACAAAGTGTTGATCAGCCTCTTGATGGTTTCAAAGAAGTATGAGATTAGTACCGAGCTTCTCCTTTTGTTTATGATGGGTGTCTTGACGATGACTGCCTAAAAAGTTGACGATTGTTAAAAAAAACCTTTCTCAAATGAGAAATACAATACTTCGGGGAGTAACGTTGAGTGAGCCAGGACTACCCAGTTACAGTCAGCCATTTAATACGCTCCACTTTGATGGTTACTTAAGATGTTAATCGGAAATAGTAATGAATCCTCGTAAAAATGGATGATCTATATCGATATCTTTGAAATTAATCTGTCTTTAGCTTCTGGACTAATCTAAAATTCTATTCACATTTTTTAAAACCATGGCGTGTAATTAAAACTTCATAAAACCCACGCTCAATGACAATTAATCTTACTTCTGTGCAGTATATATAGAAAGTTTCTGGTAGATTCGGTCGTCTGATTTTAGATCGGTCAATTTGGAACCTCTGTTTTTTTTTGTAAGCATCCATCAATTTTACTTCCATACATCTAAGACTCAAAAAGGCCATTACTTTATATGTCAAACTAAAGTGTCTTAACAAGTACTTATTGGAGAAAAACATAATTAGAGAAAGAAAGAGATTCAGCGGATTTCTTCTAGTAGATGTGCTCCAAAAACAACCAAGGTGAGTCTCCTAGTTACAAAGTTCATTGAAAAAATTCTGTAATGCCGATAAAAAATCAAATTGACATATAAAATCTAAGCTCAATAAATAAGAACAATAATGATTTAAAAATTACCATTTCACAAGCTTTTATTTTACCGATAAGATTTACACTTATCGCATAATAACTAAAAGATAAGATTTCACTTTAATTAGCCATTAAACATAGAAGACAAGAAACATAAACATGAAACCGGGACTAAGGCCCAAAAACAATCCATAAATCGATAAAATATAAAATGAAAAATAAAAGCCGAAACACTAGATTTCTTTCCATATTTCCACTTTTCGCCGTTTTGGCGAGTGACTCACAAAAAATTCCACAAAGGTCATTGTCTAATTGCGCAACGGGAATGTGCCGTTGTTTTAATGTGTGAATTGAACGTGGTAATATTAGAATGGGCGCATGAGCGCACTTCCGTATTGCATGTGAACCACAACACTCGCCCTTCAAATAAATTGCAATATGAAGAAAAAGAATCGGCGCTCAACATGCTCACGTGCTCTTCGCATTAGGGAGTTCTCTCATTTCCCACATGCGCTTTCTTTGCACTCAACCCAACGCTGGTTGACTATTATGCTTCATTGGCACTGTACTACCGTTACTTACTATTTGTATGGTCCACATTGTGGCACATCAATCTCCGAGATTCCCCCACCGGCTGTCTGCTGCCCATCAAGTGCTGAAAGGAAAATACTGAAAACCGCAAAAAGAAAATCTCACATAAAACAATATATAGCTATAGTATCTATTCACATTGCATTGTTGTTGTACGTGTTGCTGTTGTGGCTTTCCTATTTCCGTATCGGCCACCAAATGCCTTCAATGGCGTAATTGAAGACAACAACCACAATAAATGTGGTCTTACATACATACAGCTGTGTATATCTAAAGTAAGAAAAAAAATAACAACAACAATATATGTATATATATACATACATATGTATATCTAAATATATTGTGTGAAATAAATCTTTGAAAGTCACCACAGCAACAACGACGACAACATGGTGATGATGATATTTAAATTTATCTTCGGAAAATGCGTTAGTAACCGAAACGATCAATAAGTTTTGTGTACAAATCTATAAAAATACAGTTACATTGTACATTACGTATATGTACATGATGAGTATTGCAGTGTTCTAATACGTTTATGACTTTTTCCGTCGATCAGTGATGTGATTTTAGGTCAAAGAACGCTTCGTTGCTGTATACAGTGACTTTTCTTCTTCAATAGCGACTGTCGAATTGATTAATCTAGATTTGAAGTAGTCGATCAACGACGGTGCCCCGGTGCCCCGAAAACGGAGAATAACGTGACAAAGTGACAAAAGTCTATGATCTTGTATTAGCAGACCACCAATTAAACGTGCGCGAAAAAGCTAAAATATTAAGTAGGCATAAAGGGCCGCGTGGATTAGATCCTTAATGAGATCGTGGGTATGATAAAGCTGTCAGCGCTTTGAGTGCTGCGGTTGATCTCTCCGGATAGCATGTGCTACCGCGGGACCACTTCACAGTCATGTTTGATGTGGTTTCAACGCAATCCGAAAGGACCAAGACCCAGACCAAGAAACAGTCAAAAAAGAGTGGACTTTGACTAAGAAAAATGCGCTCTTTCACCTCCGAATTGCATTACGAATTTGGCCACATCCACCGTATTCTCCAGATTTGGCATCGTTTTAATTTATTTTTGTTTCCAAACTAGAAAAAGTTACTCGCCGGCCAGAAAAGTTAGTAGAATGAGGTGGTCCCGCGCCACTCCTTACTTTGCTGACCTCAAGAAATTTTATTTTTTCAGACGAGTTAAAGAAGTTGGAGTATTACTGCGTCAATCGCCATGTTTTCAAATATTCGTTTTCATTTTGTAGTCTAAGTATTTATCCGATCATTCTCGTAAAAAGGTAGTCAACATATTCGACGAATGATGATAAAATGAAATAAAGTTTATACAAAATACTACTATTCATTTACTTGTTTGGAATGGGTAATTTAAAAATTACTCTGAAGAGTAGTGAAAACGGCATTATATAATATAAGATAATGCATAGAAGATACCAGTAATTGATGTTATTCTCTTTCTCGGTAGTCAAATAATTACAAATGCTGATATCTAAAAGATGTCCTTGAGATTCTACCGCTTTGCTTGCAGCGCAGAACTTTGAAGTTCTAGATATGTATTCTCTTCTGGTTAGGAATCAGTATCAACAGCAACTATTATGGCATTACTTCATTAACTCCTTATCACATTCGTTAAATACGTTATTTAATCATTGAATACCAATATTTGATTAGAAAGCTCTTTAACTGATCCAGAGCAAGCTTTTATGAAGGAAAGTACAGAAAACGACGAAGGATTGTTATATGAGACAAGTTCGAATGCCGTTTCACAGCGATCGAGTACCCGATATTCAATCAAGGTGAACTGTGCTACCACGCGAAGGTAAAATAGCAGGTTCAGAAAGAGTGGTGAGGGGCATCGTTTGTAATCTAGCCGTAGATCTACCCCATGGTAAAATTAGTTTTAGTTGGTATTATCGGCTCCACATTTTGCTTACGACGTCAAATAAAATGATTGTGAGCTGAGACGAAATTTTGATATAATTCTGAGTTATTGTATTTATTATTTTATAACTTCAAACCACGCTTCATAAAACACCCATACAATTGAAGAAATCCCGACTTGAAGCTGCTTCAACCTTTAACAGTTTTTAAATTATCAAATTATATTCATTAAATATGCCGCATTGCTGGCAAATGACATTTATAATTTTTATTAAAATCACAATTTCGATCGTTGCGATTTTGGCGAACGATAAACACTTCATTACATATTTTATTGTGTTACAACAACAATAAAGCTACGCTTGAGTACGTGGGCACCGCCGAGGCATCCAAGTGAACGAACTCCAGGCCAAACAGCGCAACCGGACTAAGCACGGCAAGCAAATGCGGGTTAACTCAGCCCACTTGACGTTTTACATTTTCTTTTACCGATGTTTGATATTGTTGTTTTTGCATGATATCGCATTTGCATTTGCATGCTTCGGAGCAGTACCGTCGCGGCAAATCGAGTGTTGTCGCTTGATGGTGAGTTCAATGCGCAGGAAGTGAGTCCAAAGAGGTGACAGCGCGTAAAACCTAATCAACTGGTTAGTCTTCGAGGGAAATACGTGTGCAAATGTGTGTATGTATGTACGAGTAATTGAGCGCGTGTATAATCGAATTCAATTTATTATTTGCTTTGAAGACGATGACGACACAACAACGTGGACACTTTAATACGCTAGTTGTTGTTCTTTTTATTATGTTTTGTATTTCTTGGGCTAACATATACATCTGCGGCTTTGTTAATACCGGCGCACCTTTTACGACTGGCACTCACCAACAAACACACACACACACATTTACTGAGCCAAAACAAGACATGATATGCCAAATCGGTGGCTCCAGTCGTTTTGTAATTTCGTTTTAATCCTTTTTTTAATTTTTTATTTTCAACACATTAATAAGCCACTTGATTGGCATACCAATTTGCGTTATGCGACTGTGACGAATTTTCCTTAATAAAATTTCATTTCATTCATATATTGCTCAATGCAATTTCAATTGACAAGGCTTGAATGCACACACACACACACATACATACAAATATTCCAATAAAACTTTGTATGAATTATAAACCGAAGCGTGGTGATAATTAATTAACAAGTCTTAAACGGTAAAACTTAGACGCACACACATACAAACACTCATATATAGTATTATATATGTACATATATATGTATATTCATACAAAAGCACCCATTGAAGCGTTGCGAAATGATTACGAAAAATACTTCACTTATTACTAAAAAGGAAAGTGAAATATTTTAATAAAAAGTGTGATATATTGGGCAGAAGTATTTAATTCATTTAAAACGTGCTTTCACCAGCATAAAAGTTCCCTTGCATAGTTCATTATGTAATGGTTGTTTATAACACTTAAAGTGAACTACAGCGTCTACCAATAGGGATGACGTGATTTTGACAGCTCGTGAGGGACATGTTTGTTTACGGATTACGGTGTTAAATTTTGTCAGTGTGTTCAGTAAGATTTCATCATGTGACGTTTCTCTTTGGTGCAACGCTTGGAAATTCTCCAAGATTATAATGCAAATTCACGTTCTGCGGAAAATCTGGAAATATGAAAAATCATCTTCTCAGATAAGGTCAATTTCTGGCTTAATGGTTTTACCAACAAACAAAATTGTCGCTTTTGGGATAAGTCAAGTCGTCGTTTAGTTCGGAAAATGCAATTACATCCCCAAAAATTGGAATTTGATGAAATCGACGCGGACAATCGCGGTGGGCCGCCTATGTTTACCGTCTAAACATGGACATAATTTGGCAACCCGTTAATTTCGAGAAATGGCCCAGTCATGGCCGCCAAGATCATGCGATTTAACGCTTCTAGTATATTTTCTCTAGGGGTATGTTTAATCAAAAGCCAATCAACCAGCAACTCTCGAGAAACTTGAAGACAACATTCAGCGCACTATATCCGAAGTTCCAGCCGGAATGCTACACTGGGTCATCGAAAATTGGCGTAAACGGGTGGTGATAAGCAAACTCAGGCGTGGTGCCCATTAGGCCGACATTTTGGTCGAATTATAAATGGCATAAAGTTATCTGCATAATAAAAAAAACAGAAAGCATTTCGGCCAAATTTGTCTTGGACAATAATTTATGCCAAATTTCGTGAAGATAAGAAAGTTATCCATACAAAAATTTTATGTTGATCATTTAGTTTATATAGCAATAAAGTATAGTATAGTAATCCGATATCGGCGATTCCGATAAATGAACAGCTTCTGAAAAGAAAATGGCGTGTGATAAATTTCTGATCGATATCACAACAACTGAGGAACTAGTGCGCGTGCATATATACAGACAGACGAACATGGGTTCATTGGGTCGTTTATATATAATATCTCCCTTCCGCTTTTTTGCTCTTCATTCAATGATTTATATTTTATATAATATTTTATAGGGTCACCGAAGTTTAATTCTGGGTTTTGCAAACTTCGTGGTAAACTTTATAATCCTCTTCAAGGTATAATAAAAATTTTATGCGATCACGAGAACAAAAGTTTCAACGGTCTAAAACTCGGAAAAGGTGAAACTGATTACATAAGTAAATGGTGACCATCACCTCTTCGGCCTATAGGACAATCTACGTTTTCTTTCGAATCGATTCGCAAGGGGAAGCTTACTACTTCGACTGTTCCTTAGTCTCTGATGAGTACTAGTGGATTCAAATTTCGTTGATTGTTATCAAGCAAAGCAGAAACTCCTTCGGATTGCCTTTAAACCGGGTCAAACAGTACTGTTGGTGAAGTGGTGTTTCCGTTTGTTGTCCTCTGTGAGCGAACGCTCCACCCATCACCCCGGCAGCTTTCTCATACCCACGTTACATGCTGGACGACTCACGCGGTTTGACATGCCTACTATTCCATTAAGCGGTTAGGTCAAGCTGAGTTTAAACTTTTTTTAAAATAAATAATCGGCGACTATTTCATGTTTTAAATTTTTGTACAAACAAATTACGGCTAAACTTTTCGGAAAAAAATTAAACCTCTTCTCTACACGTCCACCAGTTCACCGTCACTTGTAGCGGCCCTTCTGAGGGAGGTGACACTTGTTCCCAACAAATTCTGTAAAAGATAAAAATCGAGATCTATTTCCTTAGTCACAGAATAAATTGTCAAAGCTAGGCCTTTTTTGAGAGCTGCTAAACCTAAACCTTTTAACCAGTTTTTGCATGGTTGACATTGAAA